CTGCTTTTCCTCCGGCTCCCCACATATCTGAAAAAGGACTTTTTATTGTCCTTGATGCTCAAAGCTAGTTGGAGTTCAGTTGCAGCCTTGGCTTTCCTGGTATGCTTCCTACAGGACCGGACCAGTGCAGAATAATCTTCTTTGGAGGTGACTCCCATCCTTTGTAGGCCTTTCTTTTTAGCCTCAGGAGGTCTGCTAGGTCCCTGGAGAGCCAGGCGGGCTGCTGTGCCCTCTTGCTGCCTTTCCTCTGTGATGGAATAGACTTAGTTTGTGCATTGAGGATGGCTCCCTTGAGGAGCAACCACTCTTCTTGAACTCCCCTCTCCCCATGGTCATGGTCCCTTAGGGCCTCACTGACACGCCTCCTGAGCTTGCTGTCACCCAGCTTCCCATCGATCACTAGGTCGCCGACTAGGTCATCCCCAGTAGCCAGTACCAGGCTGAGCAGTGCTTTGCCTCTCGTTGGCCCATAGACTTCTTGAGTCAGGTAGAGGTCATCCACGCACAAGAGGAAGCTTTGGGAGGGCCTGGGGTTCTGACTGGCCTGGAGGTGGGCCAGGGCTGAAAGCCGAAGGTCCCAGTGAGGGGATCACACCTGGAGGGGAAGCAGCGCAGGGAGCTATGTTGCCTGGTATGACGGCATAAGAGTGTGCCTGATGAGAGGATTCTAGGTTGCGGTTCAATCAGTAGGAGTCTAGGGCCCAGAGCGAGGGGCCGGTGATTATGAGAACATAGATGCCATCTGTGAGGCTTGGGCTGCGGTGTAGGGGAGGAATGGCGCTTCAGATAGCGCCCCCTGGCATCGGGGCAGGATATGGGCAGCCTCCCGCATATTTAACATCTCTATTTATCAATTAACATCAAGGCGTGGCAGACGAGAAGGCGGGCAGTTAGCCCAGAAACAGGTGGGCGGGCTGCAGGGAAAGTGGCCCCGAGAAGGTTTAGGTTTAGAAGGTTATTTGTGACAAATAAATCTAGTAATAGAGGAGATGTCCTTATCAGCAGGGATCTGGGTTTTCTGTTTGTAACAGAAAAGAACCCTGGATTTTTTCATTTTTAAGGGGGAAAACCCAGATTTTCTCCTTTTAAAGGAGAAAAATGTGGGTTAAAGTGGGTTTCCCCTTGCAGGCTAGCAGAGTTCTAGCCTGCAAGAAGCTGGGGGGAGCAGGAGGAAGGCAGTCTGTCAGAGGGTGCCATGTGAATGTGCGTATGTACACATGCACATGGCTGCCAGGCAGCCTGGAAAGCAACTTCTGCAGGTAACTCTGGGTAGGGGGAGGGCAACTGAGGCCCTTCTAGGGAGGAAAGGAGTTGGGCAGGGCTAGGGTTTGGGCTGGGGGTGCTTTCCAACCCAGGCAGTGCGTGTGGCTTAGTGCCTGGGACATGGGGCCTGGGCAGCTTGTCTGGGGAGGAGGGGCCTGGCTCCCTGCCACTACATGCACTCCCAAGGGGGCATGTGCCCCCCAAATTTGTGCATGGGATGGGTGTTGGCTGCCCACTATGGGCTTGGGGCTCCTTGCCCTGGTGCCCTCTCCCCAGGGCCTCTGTGGCCCAGTGAGCGGGACCCGATGTCGCAGGTTGGGGCTGGGCGGAGAAGCTTGGTGCCACTGCTATGAATCCCATGCTGCCAAGGCGAGGCATCCCCTGCCTGCCTGGCAGCAGCAGGGGGCACAACCCCCACTGCCACCTCCGCTGCTGCCAGGTGAGCAGCGGGTGCCTTGCCATGGTGGCATGGTGCTTGTGGTAGTGACACTAGGCTTCTCTACCCATTCCAGCTTCACCCTGCCATGCCAGGTCCCACCTGCTGGGCTGCGGAGCCCCTGGAGGGAGGGCAACAGGACAAGGAGACCAAAGCCCTTGGTGGCCAGCCTGCATCCGCTCACCCCCATGGGCTCCACCCTGGCTGTGCTGCCTGTGGGGGGAAGGGGAGCCAGGCTCCGCACTCTGCTCCAGCAGCCACTGCCTCCTATGGGCAGCATCTGGGGCTCAGGCGCAGCGGCTATGGACCCGGGTCCCTAGCCCCATAGCCTTGGCAACTAGGGCCTCCCCCTCTGGCAGGGCTGGGTGGGGGGGCTGTGTGTGGGGAGTGAGTGGCACCAGCAGGGCTGGGGGCTGTGGTTTGGGAGTGGGGGGAAATGGCAGGCACTAGGCACTGGCCTGTAAGGGCTGCTCAGTGCCACAAAGAAGTGTGGGATGGGGGGGACAGCTGAAGCTGGACCTGCATCCTGGTGAGTGAAGGGGGCAGGGAGAGCTCTGATTTTCCATTTTCCATGATAAAGCAATTCAAAAATATATAGGTATTTAGAATTTACTTTACTATAGTGATTGAGGCACTGGTAGGCTTCCAGATTTCTTTAAAATTGTAAATGTATCAATAAAACATTGTGTTCAACTGATATATATATTATAGTGGTGTTTCATTTTAATTGCAGATCTTGAGTTTTTAATTGGAGAACTTGCAGTTTTTATTAGAGAATTGGAGGTTTTAAATGGAGAAAATCAGGATCCCTGCTTATCAGATTCGTTGAGGTTTAGGCTTACCAAAGGGAAGGCATACTTCAGGTATAGCCTATTCTTAGATGAAATGGGCAGGTCCTTAATGTACCTCTGATGGGAAATGGGAAAAAGAAATTCATAGGCATCTTGAGGTGAGGCTCGTCTTCTCTTTGTTGAGGGATGTTGGACTTTTAATGGAGGCTTTCAAGGAGGACACAGAGGCACATAATATTGTTTACCTAATTTGTTCTTGGCCATGTTTGGCATCAGTACAGAGTTGTTTTTTTTTTTGAGGGAGGAAGGACAATCCAAGATGGTAAATCTCCAGAAAACACATTTCTGTTTGTATAATGGAGCAGGAAGGCAAATAACTTCATGCTTGCTTTGCTAAAGAAGTTAGATAGCTTTTAATTTCATTAATACATTTTCTGAAGGCAGAATTCAAATACAAAAGTTCTGGGACATATACTCTTTCTTTTGGGGCTTTTTTGTTTAAGGGCTTGGAATGTGACTTTTGTCAACACACAGATTCCTTTGCATATGCTGTTCTGTTTCTCTCCTACTAATACACAATTTGTGGAGATGTTAGACTTTCAGGAAGGGTAGTTCACCCTGGATTCATAGGTGCAGGGTTGTCCACATGTAGACTCTGATTCTGTTTTGTCTCTTGTCTTCATGGTGTTCATCCTTCATTGGGAGCTATGTGTAGTTCTTGTTGTACTGTTTTGAGGCTTAGATTCTATCCTTCATATTAAAAAACAAAAACTATTAATATGAATTTAAAGGCCATGTCCAGATGACTGCAGCTGAGCCGTATGTGGTGCCACAGACATGCCTGCAGTGCCACATAATGCACGTTCACCTGCTTTCCGTGCTGCAAGAGAGAAGTGTGTGTTTTTTTTTTTGTGCGGGGGGAGGTTACACCTGGATATCCGGGGGTCAAAAACACCCATGGAGGGAAAAAAAAAAGTGGAGCCTACCAGGACCCCAGATAAGGCTGCTGGTGCCAGCCCAGTGCTGGCCCCACCCTCTCCTACTCCACCTGGGTAACCTGCCATGTGCCAGTGTGTGCGTGGCACTGGGACAACCTTTAGCAGCACAAGATGCACTGCCGCTAGTTGTCCCTAGAGAACCAAATGTCCATGCTCATCTGGACATGGCCCAAGAGATCTGTATCTGGCCCTTAACTTTTTCATGGTTCTCTTAATACTGAGTGAAACATACCATCCTAATGACTGGGGCCCTACTGAATTCATGGTGGAAGTGGGCTGTGCAGTAGCTCCTTTAATCTTGCAGATTCCCCCACGTACCACTTCTGTTGCTAATTGGCAGAGGGGCCCTGGTGGCCCTGTTTCTTGCTGCTGATTGGCTGGGAGGCAAAAATGGTGCCAAATTTGAAACCGTGGATGAGAAATATTTTCAGTATCATTTCTGAAAAATATGAAGTAAAAAATACCCATCTAGTAATCTGCATTTTGCAAACACCTATCTGGGTGTTTTCTTTGTCAGACCGTCTACAGCAAATAATTTTAATTTTGTTTCGTTGCTTATTTTGGAGACTGATATTCCTAATTAGGAAAAATCTTGTTTGGTAAGGATGTTACTTGAAGAGTAATATTTTGGTTTTATTACTCTTAATAGTATTGTTTTAAATTTAATTTAAAAAAATGATTTGCTAAGAAGGCACTCCACTTCCACTAATTTTGAGAGTTATTTTGGCATGCATCTAATGTTGTTTAGCTCCATCAGTGAATAGAACTTATTTCTGTCTCACTTGAAGGCATGCGTTATTTTCTGACTAATTTATCTTTAAAACAACAAAACATCTGAATATAGTTTATTAACAAAAAATGTTTTAGTAAACTTAAGATAAAAACACATTGTTAATCACTGTCTTAAATGCATTCTTTTCCAGCAATTTGTAGGAATAGTTGTGGTGATGGCTTTTGTTCCCGTCCTAATATGTGCACTTGTTCCAGTGGACAAATATCACCTATCTGTGGATCAAAGTCAAGTAAGGACTTATAATATTTGCTCTTCTTTTAGTTTTGTCTTTAATTGTTCTTTTATAAATGATCACTTTTCTAAAATTAGAAATCTTTTAAACAAATACATTAGACAATATAATCATTACACCATACAGCTATATGATTTATACTTTAGAATATCTCTTTCTCTGTCAGCGTTCTACGTAAGCAATACCTGTATGCGATAAAAGAAAAATTAAATTCTGTAGGCAGACCTAGAATGCACGTGTATATGTGTGTGTGTGTGTATATATATATATATATATATATATATATATATCTTGTAATACAATTTTGTGAAGTTGAAATTTAGTTGCAAAATCCTATAGGATAATTGGTAGTTGTAAGTTGTGATATATGTTCTTAGAAAGATTGTTTTCCCTTGATATGTTTATAATGTCTTTTAGGATATTAGAAATATGTTTGCATCACTAGACAAGTATTTTCATTACTTCATGTATTGGATACATACTATCTTTGCTTTTGAAGACTTTGCTTTTAGTCGCTATTTGCAGTGTTCTTTAATGCATACATCCATTTCTGTCCCCTTATAGTACAGCAGTGCAATATCAGGTGCATAAATGGTGGTACTTGTGCAGATGATCAGTGCCAGTGCCAGAAGGGCTATGTTGGAACGTACTGTGGGCAACGTAAGTAACTTCTCTATTTCATCCTTATAAGGTTGAGTCCTACAACACTTATTTGTTCGAATTAGCTGTATGAATTTGCAGTGAGTAGGAGGGCAGATGAAACCAGGGCTATATGTATGGGTTACATAGACAAAGACATAATGTATCCAAGGAAGGCAGTTTAAACATACTTCTGTGTTGGCTTTTGGGGCTGCACTTACACTACAATGTAGTTTAATCTGTTTTCTTCACTGGGGTGAATTTTATCAATGAATTGTACATATATATTTTATTGATCCTGAAACCAAAATACATATTTACAATTTACTCATTTGGTTGAGTCCAGTGAATAGTTTTGGCTAGATAAAACTTGTCCATTACATGATGGTGTGATCTCTTTTATCCAAGGAATGATTAAACTACTCACCAAGGTTATGGAAGACTTGGGATCAGGTGTGGGATTCCAAGTCACATTTCCCAAGAGAGTGTTTAAACCATGTTGCTATAGGATATCAGAGGGGAGAGGGAGGGATAGAGGAAAAAAGACCTTGTTCTGATTTTGTATAAATAAATATTTACTGGGTCAAGGGTTATAACCCAGGTGAATGTCCTAACCACCAAACTATATGTCTCTTCAGACATTCACCCAGACATGAGACCTCTCACTCACCAGGGAAGTGCAAAACCAAATACAAGTTCATTCTCTGCTTGATTTTATGATAGGAACTTGAACCAATCAAGTATCCTAGTTATTAAGTTGCAGGATATTCTTAGTTGAGTGTCTCCTAATCCTTCCTGTTGGAACTGTTCCACTTTGTGTAAAATACTTAAATAATTGATTGGCGGGGAAAGAAAGAACAGATCTGCAGCCTAGTGGTTAGGATGCTCACCCAACAGGAGAGAGACTCAGGTTGCAGTGCCTGTTCCATGGAATGTTTGTTTATTTTACATTAGGGTCAACAGTAGAGAATAAGAGCATTCCCCACTCCAGAATAGTTAACAGCTTGGTGGTTAGGGCACTTTCCTGGAAGATATGGATTCAAATTCCTATGTCTCCTAGATCCTACATAAGTGGTCTAGTCATTGAGCTGTTGGACAGAAGTGCGTGTGTGTGGGAGGGGGGACACCACCTTTTTCCCCATCAGTCTTGTGAAAATCTAGTGTTCAGCGTCCTTTGCTTTTCCTACATGTAGGAAACTGAAAAACAAATTATTCACACAAATCTACATGACACCTCTCCCACAAACATACTGACAAACTATATACATTTGGAGAATGATAAAAAATGATTAAGGGTACAGAGATTGGTTTATGTGGAAAGATTAAAAGAATTAAATGTGATACATGTCCATCTGATATTAGCAGTTAACATAAATATGGCAAGGAGTAATCAAGATATGAATTGTTTAAAGTGAGCTAGTAAGTGGTTTTTCTTTCCTGCAATTCATTTGTTTCTAAAAGAGACACTGTTGGAAAAACGTATCTAAGCCCTCTCTCTTGTTTGAGTCATTTTAGCCTGTGCTGAGCACCGAAGGGCAGTCTTGTATGTACCATATGGGTATGTTTGTATGCATCCATGCTTCTGCCAGGGTGCACACTCTTGCACATACGCTTCCTATCTGCCTCTGCTCCTATATGCCAAACCCAGAGAAACAGTGGTGAAGCCACTGTGAGCAATCCTCTGATGGCCATGTCACGCGTATCCAAGACCCAAGTCTTGAGAGATCATGGTGTGGTTGGTCTGAGAGCATGTGTCCCTGGCAGACTTGTGACTAGAAGTCCCTTTGTTAATAACTTTAGGAGCTTGGGACAAATTCTGTAGATTCTTTTTTGGGCCATGCTAAACAGTGATGTTTAATCTGAGGAGGATTTGGTCTCAAGCTGTGATTCTATAATGCAGTGTTGTTCAAGGTTTTGGCTCTGTGGGCCAGATGAATGACTTAAGACCAGTCCGTGGGCTGGATCTGGATATGTGCTTTCTCCATCCTGCCCTGTCCTGGGGGATCACGTTCCTATCCAGTCTCATGTGCGGGGATCTAGTCCTGCGCCACCCTATGTTCCCAGTCTAGTGCCCAGGGCCAAATCCTGCAAGGCTCCCCATGGACCTGTGGGGAAACCCCATGTCTGGATGACATGGTACCAAGGGCTGGATCTAGCCCATGGACTTGGGGTTGAGTACCTCTGCTATAATGAGCTCTGGGATTGCACAGTGGAGGATCAAGTCATTAATTAAGATTTAAAAAATTAGCTTCTAGATGGGATTGAAATTCGTCTGAATAGAAATAAGCATTTCTTTAATTAAAACATGATCATATCCTTAATCCATTGTTTTTGAGATATGGGAAAAAAAAATTCTCCACAAAGTATTGTATGTAATTCAAGTACTACATGCAGTAACAGGCATACAGAAGTCTCTGAATTTTGTACGTCACTTGCACTCTGAATGAAAAGTAATTCAATTTTATAGGCCCTGATAAGATATACAAGATTTATTGCATTTCTAGATAACAGTGCATTTTTATGTGTTTCTCCTTGTGATATAGTAAGCATGTCCACATTTTTTCTGGTTTAAAAGATTTAACATCTCTGGAGTTTTGAGATGTTTTGGCACCAAGTAGTCAAACATTTTATAACCCCATCCATAAGTAGCAGAGACCTAAGTTAGAAACCTTAAGACTCAAATCTGTCTGTGTTGTTGTTTTGGCAGGTTTTAAAGATAGTGGGACTATCTTCTCTCAGAGAACATGTACACATTTTTCTGTACAGTTTTGCAGAGCCCAGAGATAGCTGGCCTTAAATGAGGCAGAACAGATTAAGGGCAGTAATATGAATAGGCATTTTAGTAAGCAGGTGATCTGTCTCTTCATCTCTCATATTTTGCAAGCAAGTGTACAAGCACTTTTCAGAATTGATGGAATGCAAATGTATTTGCAGGGCAGCTGTTGCTTGATTCATATTTCTGTATGAAGATATTAAGCCTGGTTACCAGTGGCTACCTTCTAAGAGAAGGCACATGATTATGCTGCAGCCCTTCCTAAGGTGTTACATCAAGAAATAATAGCTTTAATTTCTTGTTGGGGTGACATAGGAAACACACTTGTGGAAACTGCTTGGAGATCAGATGCAATGGTGCATTCTCTTCAGGGCTGTAGCCATGTCCCTGTCTGGCCAGCACAGGGGTGGGCAAAAAATGGCCTGGGGGCCAGATCTAGGCTGTGAGGCCATTCTTTCTGGCCTGCAGGGCCCCTAAAATTTTTTTGAAAATTTAAATTTATCTGTCCTTGGTTCCTGTCAGAAATGACAGGAACCAGGGACACTAAGACCCAGGGGAATCCTCGGAGGGCTTCTGCAACAGCAGGGCTTGCCCAGCCCCACCCCCTCAGCCTGAAGCCCCAGGAGGGGCTTCGGGCCTGGGACCACATGGCTGCCCTGGCGTGGGAAGCTCAGGTAAGTGGTGGGGGGAAGGACGGGGAAGGAACTGGTGCTGAGCACAGGGGAAAGTGGCCCCCTGTCCTGAGCAGGCACAGGCAGCCCCAGAGGTGGCGAGGGGCTGCTTTTCCCCGCACTCAGCACTAGCTTGTAACCCAGCCCCGCTGCCAGCCTAGGCCCTGTGCCGGCTCCAGGTGCAGCCCCAATGGGTGAGCCATGGTGGCAGCAGCTGTGGCCCCCTGCTTGCTACACTGGGCAGCATTTGCTGCTGCTCACACTGGTGAGGCTGCCACCGCTGTGCTGCCCAGCATGTGGGGCTGCCTGTGCCTGCTCAGGACAGCCCCACGTAGGTCATGAGCGGCTGCAGCAGGGAGCACCAGCCATGGAGTGGGTGAGGGGCCACTTTTCCCCATGCTCCAAAGCATCTCCTTCCCTGCCGGGGAGCAGGGGGTTGGGGCTGTGTGCTGCCCCATGCCTGTAGTGTGGGGCTGAGAGGGCATTGGCAGTGAGCGGGCGCAGGAGTGTGGGGCCTGCACTGGTGTCCAGGGCCAGCACCAGCAGAGCCCAGAGGTAGGGTGGCAGGGGTGCAGGGTCCCGGTCAGCAGGGGCTCTATGGAGCCGGACCAGCTCCCCCCTCTCCCTGCTGGTGCAGCCCAGCCTGGCTGCACACACCCCTGCCAGCCTGCACCCTGCTCTGCACCCCACCAGTGCTGGCCCTGGGACATTGATCCCAAGACATTGGGACATTGGTCCCAAGATGGTGACTAGAGGGCAGGGCACCTGTCAAGAGGTGGGGATACCCCTGTGGCCCTCAACAGCTTGCCAGAACTGGGTACGTGGCCCTCTGCCCGAAATAATTGCCCACCCCTGGGCAGGCAGTATCTAATTTTGAGGCTGAATTGAGGTCTTCTTGCCCCCCACTTCCTTCTTTTCTTTCTTAGAGTGAGTCCTATATCTTCTGTCACTTCAAACACATTTATTTCACTTTGGAGTATATTTTGTTTACAGTTTTCAGGAACAATTATTTCTATTTAAAAATACAGAAAAGTATATGAGATTTTGTAATTATTCCTGTTAGGGAGAATATTCACTTAATAACTTTCCTGAAGATTAATTCAAAGAGCCATGAGTTTTTTGGGTTTTTTTTGTAGGCAACAACCTACTTTATCAGAAGCTAGGAATGGACTAGCAGAAAGAAAAGATTTTATATAGAAGGGGATAGGATGCTGCTAAGCAAAGGAATTCGTAGATCGTTTAGATTAGTTAAAATGAAGAAAGAGGTTAACACCTGGAGGACTAGCTAGTCTAGGTAATGGGGTAAGAAGTCATAATCCCTATTGAGATAGATTAATACAGTTCAGTCTCTGAATAATTTCTTGTTCTGAAATGTTATATTCAAGACCCAGATGCCAGTTGTGCCCTCTTACTAACACAGACCACGGTGTCACTGGATCAAGCTATCACTTGCTTAAAGTGCTGCTCTGCTTTCTACTTTGGCCAGATGTGACAATTCCTACAAAAAGAATAAATGGACACGAATTAGACATTGATTTTTAAAAAAGCATGCAAAAGTCCAAAACCTATTTGGACATTCTATGACTGACCACCGAATGGTTTAAAAAAATAATTTTCTAATTAATAGAGATGCACCAATGCATTGATCCAATATTGGGTTGGCACTGATATAAAGAAAATTAACTATATTGGAAATCGGCTTTTTTTGCCTGATGCAGCTGGTAAAGTGGCCGATACATGCCCAGCTGCAGCATGCAAGAGGTCAGGAGTGCAGCCTGGCAGCTTGGAGAGCTGCATCCAGCTGGTAAGTCTGTGGTGGAAGGGGAGGGGGAACGGAAGGAATGTGGAGGGGAAGGAGGGCAGGTCTAGGCCCCTGCAGTGAGGGAGGGAGTGGGGCTGGCGCTGGGATTGGGACAGGTGCTCCCCAGCCAGCACCTGTCCCAGTGCAGCTTGTCCAGGGGACATGGGGTGGGGGGCAGTGAGGGGGTGGGGGGGAGGCATGGCCCCCGCCGCTGCACTCGCCTCAGGAGGGCTTAGGGGGCATGTGTCCCCGGATCTGTGCAGGGTGGTGTGGGGTGGCTGCCATTGCAGGCTTGGGCTGGGGCTGCACTGGGCTCTTCCCAGCAGGGGCTGGGCTGGGCTGGGCTGCGCTCAGGGTGGGTGGCAGTGGCGCTGGGAAGGGGTTATGGGGGGGAGGGGCTGCAGCCACCCCACAATTTGCTGTAGCCCCCCAAACACCACTCCCAGCACCACTGCTGTCTGCCCCGAGTGCAGCCCAGCTCAGCCCTCCCTGGGAAGAGCCTGGCGAAGCCCCTGGCCCCAGCCCACAGTGGCAGCCTGCCCTGCCCTCCATGTAAATCTAGGGGCCCCCCCGCCATGCCTCCCAAGGTGCACGCAGTGGCAGAAACCGTCCCTTCCCCTGCATCCCTCGGATGAGCGCCTGCCCCAGCTCCTGCCCCACTCCCTCTCCCACCACAGGGGCCTTGATTTGCCCCCCTCTCCCCGTGCCTCTTCCCTTCCCCCTCCCACAACAGACTACCCAGCTGGACACTGCTCTTCAAGCTGCTGAGCTGCATATCAGAAATCGGATTGGTATTGGCCAATATGGCTCCCTAAAAAGTGGCTATCAGTATCTGCCCAAAAAATCTCCATCGGTGCACCCCTACTGATTAAGTTACCATTCAAGACTTGCAATTAAAACCGTACTAAACTTTGTATAGCAGATGCTTTTTGAGTTATGAAGGAACAAAAAATACCCCTTTTCTTGAAGGTGTGTACAGACAGTTTCAGGCTAAAAACATTTCTAAGCATTTTTGCTAAAATATTGTTTTTAAAAACTAGATCTAGTTACTTTGACTCCACCATGATGCTGATGAAAGATTAGTATTTATAGTTGATTTGAAATATTACAAAATTTGCTAACTTCAAACTTTTTTTTTTTTTTTTAAATACAGCTGTCTGTGAAAATGGTTGCCAGAATGGAGGACGATGTATTGGACCCAACCGTTGTGCATGTGTGTATGGATTTACTGGCCCTCAGTGCGAAAGAGGTAAGAAAAGTAAGTTTGGAGAGAATGGAATGAAAAATGTATACCTACTACATACAGTACTTTTTATAGTATGTAGTCACATTATTTTTCATAAAATGAAATGTATGGAGCTGTTTTGTGCTGATATGAGAGTGCCGTCAGTACATTTTAAAAAAAGGGGGAAGAAACAGATTAATTAGTATGGCTTGGGTCCCAATTAGGAAAAATGCCTTAAGCATTTAGTTAACCTTAAGTATGTGTTTAATTTTTATGGGGATTTGGGATCTAAATTCATAACTTTATTATTTTTATATAATTACTGAAGAAACTATGTTTAGTATAGGGATAACATTATACATTTGGCAGAAATTCTGATCTCAATAAAGTTGAACGTATTTCATGACAAACACAAGCAATATGTTTTTAGTTGAATACTGAGCTGTTATCTCCACAGAGAAGGAATATATCCATAGTTTTTGAATAAATAGTCTTAGCAGTGTATCATCCTCTCAAAAGAGGCTAACATGTAATAACAATTAGGAGGATTCTTTCCATGTCTAAATAGTGAGAGATTCAAATGACCAGTAATGCAGAACTAGACCGTATCAGGTATCTTTGTAAAATATTTTTAATTTGTGTGAAGCAAACAAAATCGAGCACTAAATAGACATTAAAATACTTTATTTCTAATTAGAAGATATATAGAAAGGTGTCCGCGAATACTAGATTTGTATCTCCTTTGGCATAAATGTTAGGCCTGTGTGAATAGGCAAGTATTTGATTTTGGGTTCGGCTGATTCGGAGGACAGTGATTTGATTCAGATCGCTATTGCAAATCGATTTGACCAAATCGGCTTTGAAAGATTTGGTGCTGATTTGACCATTAACTATAATGGTGAATCAATGAAATACCTATAACTTTGTCATTTTTTGGCAGATTTGGGTGAAAACAGCAGGGATAGTAGCCCCTTCTGAGGGCACGAGGCGTGCGAAGTTTCAAGGAGATTTGAGGTGCAGTTTCCCCAAAACCCCTGCTCCTAACTGCTGCCAAGCAAGACTCATGACATATGTGACTTTGTATGTGTGTTAAGGTACAGCAGGGTGAGAACTGCAGGCATGAAAGCCCTGTTCTCACCCTCACAACTCCACTGCAACCAGTAAGCCTCAGGCCTCTTAAAGATCTTACAGGTCTGGGCATTCCCCAGCCAGGACTGTGTGGTGGCTGGAGGTTATCAGGTGCCTTCTGCTGCTACCCGCCTTTCACCAGGGAGGTTCGCGGTCCTGGCATTTCCTGGGGCTGTGCGCCACTGGAAGTCCCACCAGGCTTCCCTGTCCTGACAGGGTTCAGTTTTAGGTCATGCCCAGGATAATGTGGGGCCTCCTCCCCATATAACCCCAGACCCTTATACCTCCAAGTTCTTCCTGCCACAGGAGCTCAGCAGGGAGATGTTCTTCCCCTGCTGGATGGTGAGAAACTAAACTGCCGCCTTCAGCTCTGAGAGTGGGACATTAGATGGCTGCCATGTCTTGCCACATACATCACCACTCGTGCGGGCATGAGGGAGGCCTGCCAGTTTTCAGGCAGAGTAGTGCAGGAGTTTCTGTGAAACTGTACCTCAACCTGCTGAAAGCAAAACTCGTGTTACTTGCGTGTGTTAAGGAGTATAGGTTGTAGCCATGTTGGTCTAAGGACCTAGCCCAGACAAGGTTCTTAGGCATTCTGATATCTTTTATTAGACCAACTGAATAGTTGGAAAAATTCTTCTTTGCAAGCTTTGGGTTTAAAAACCCTTCAGGCTGAGGAAGCATCTAGTTGGGGGTGTGTGTGTGTGTGTGTGTGTGTGTGTGTGTGTGTGTGTGTGTGTGTGTGTGTGTGTGTGTGTGTGTGTGTGTGTGTGTGTG